GTCAGGCGTGAAACTCCGTTTCTGAGTCCCCGTTGATGGTGCGGTTACTAGGCTGACTCGTACTCGCCTCTCAGCTCGATGGGAGCAGGGGCCATGTCCACACACCGCTCCCTGCACAGTGCCAGCATCGTGGTGGGCGGTTATTAAACAGTGGTAGATGGGAAGGAGGATGTTTTCCAGGAGCTGGTTGGGTAGAGAGAGAAGAAAACAATATGTTATACTCCTTTGATCCATGTATTATAATGGAATTATACCCCGAATATGATGGGAGCAGCTAGCAGCAATTAAGTCATCGGAGTGGGGGTGCAAGTGTGAAGTAGTCAGCAAACACTTCTTGAAAGATGAATAGGCATTAGCTATGCAAATGAGGGAGGATGTGGATTCTGGCAGAGGAGAGAACTTAAACAAAACTGTGAAAGAACTTCCTGGGTTGTGGGAACTAGGAGTGAGGTTGGCATGACTGGCGTGAAGGAGGGAACCAGTAGAGAAATGGCAAGAAACAAGATTAGAGAGTTGGGATGGGCAGAGATAGCGGGGGCCTTGCCTATTTCCTATGGACTTTGAATACCCATGGAAAGAGGCAGAGATTAAATAATTTTAAGTAAGGCGGTAGTATGATAGAAAGACTTTGGGGGGCGGGGGCAACTAGGATTTTCTTAGGAGTCCTGGTGGCATAGTGAGCTACACCTGGGGTGGCTAACTGTGAGATCAGCATTTTGACACCCCCCCCCACACACACACACACATGCTCTGCAGGAGAGAGATGGGGCTTCCTGCTCCTGTAAAGATGGACTGTCTCAGAACCCCCTGGGGGCTATTCTGCTCGATCCTATAGGGCCACCCTGCGCCGGAACCCACTTGTTGGCAGTGAATATTTTGGTGGGCTTTACATGGACTATTGGCTAGAAAGGCCTTCCTTGCTTAGTCATTCACAGCACTACAATGACCTCACAGGGGCTCTGCAGATACGATCACGTTAAGGCTCTAAACCCGTGGCTGATGGCCTTACAAGAACAGACAAGGACACAGAGGAGAAGACCAGGTGAAGATCGAGGCAGAGATTAGAACCCTGCAGCCATCACCAAGGACTTCCAGGGAGAGGCACGGAACCAATTGTCCCCTAGAGACATCTCCACACCTTGATTTGGGATGTGGGGGCCTCTAGAACTGTGAAAGACTACATGACTGTTGCTTTAAGCTATCAAGCAAGGGCCCTGCTTCCCAGGAATGGGCAGCCCAAGCCACAGAGGGCGATGAAAATCAATATCAGTAACACGGTATGATAAAAAGGTATTATTAGCTGAGTGCTTGGGGTTGTAGAGGGGGGAGAGCATGCCTAAAGAAGGTATGAAAGAAAATGGTAAATTGAAAAACATAGAGTTATAAAGGAGGTAGTGTGTATGGGAACATGGGGGTCTTCAGAAATTTCTTGTGGCTGAAGTGTAGCATGAGTGGGGCCGAACAGTGGAAAATGAGACTAGAAACGTGACGTGAGAAGCAAATTGCCAAGTGTTTTGTATAATAGAAGGAGTTGGAGCATTGCTTGATAAGCTGTGGGGGGCCAGCGGAGATCTTAAATAGACGTGGTTGGGAGTGTTGACGGAGCTAACTCGCTGAATGAAGGCTGGCTAGACTGGGGCGAGCCTGGGGCCGGGGGAGGCCGGTTAAGAGACCAGTGAGGACAGAAAAGACTGGTGATGTCTCAGAGACACTTGTGATACTGTGAGTAGATGTAAGAGGATTTGGCAATTGGTTGGTAGAGATGGAAGAGGTAGGTGGAGGATGACTCCACAGTCCTTACATTGGGAGATTGGCGAGGATGGCAACACCACAAACCCAAACAGAAATCACGGGCGCGGAAACAGCCTATGGATGGAAGTAAGCTAAGGAATTCCAATTTGGGCATCCTCACTTAGGAAGTCTTAGGGGGATATGGAGTTAGGGTTCTATTTTAAGAGGCTTCGACACATAGACAGGGGCTGAAGCTTTCGCTGGTGCTAGGTGAGGTCTTTGGGGAAACCCGTCAGTGAGCAGAGTCGGCAGTTCCAAACCACCCCAAGGAGCCTCAGCAAACAGGCCCGGAGATTTGCTTTCGAAAGGTCACAGCCCGGAAATCCCAAGGAGCCGAGCTACACTACGTACGTGGAGTCACCGGAAGTCAGAGTCACTGTGATGGTTCCCGGCCACCAGCACCACCACCACCCCTCTTTCAAAGCCACGGTAGAAATTTCCTCCCCAAACCCTAGGTGACTTGCCATCCCTGCCCAGGCCCCTCCTCTGGTCCCTTCCGGAACCATCTGATTCTCTAAGTGACCCATCCACCTTCTGAATCACGGTGCCTCTCCCCACTGCAGCACCGACCACTCCAGACTTTTTGACAAAACTCTCTCCGGATGGTCTCCGTCAGATCCCTTCCGCTCCCCTCCATAGCCTAGCCACCGTACTCTGTCTGTGGGTGAGACTTGGTTGGCATATGTTGGGTGAACTGGTTAGGGAAGTTCTAATGTCGGACTCTCCGTACCCTTTCATTCTGGGAACTTGGGAGGCACGGCGGCGGCATGTGGCTGCGCCCCTGGGGAGGAAGAGGAAGGAAGGAGGGGCATGTGCAGAGCCGCCTCCGCCTCCATCCCCTAGAGAGACCGAACAGCCCAGCCTCACGGAAAGGAATCTTGGACCGTTCAATTCAGACGTAACCGTTGTACTAAGGCCAGGATGGCCAACGCTGAACTTGTTTGTTGTTGCTGCTGCCGGCTTCCCTTGTATCTTCTCGACAGTTCCAGCTGCGCGAGGCTTTAACTTTGAATTTCTCGCGAACAGTCTTTTGTATGCAATATTGCCGTTTGAATTTGGCCCAGCTTCTCTTTGGATGCCAGGGAGGGGTGGATGAGTGGCTGGCTGGCTGAATCAATGACTTTCCCAGGTTCACCTGGCTGGTTAGTGGCAGAACTGGGACTCAGCTCGCCATTTTCCTGAGGGATGTCAAACAGCCCATGTACCTGGTGCACCAGCACTTCAGGGTTGCCATGACAACTACATGGGTCAAATTTCCATCATCCAAGTAAAGATTGGAATAGTTACTTACAGGCATGGAGGTTAAAGTCCAACGGAGGAAACTCCTTGCCCAGGCCCTCCTGTGTTGGCACAGCCCAGGCTAGGACTCAGAAATTAGCCTCTGTTGAGACCCCCAGGCCTGAACTACAAGGGGACCTGTGGGAAGTGAGCGCTGAGGCTACTGTTGGGCAGGTAGCACCACGTGTGGAAAGATGCAGGAGGAAGAGCCAGGTGCCACTCCTGGCTCAGGCACTGCCTCACTGAGTGACTGGGTAGTTCACTAACCCTCTCTAGTTGTTGGTTTCTTTGCCTATTAAGGGAGATGGTTGGCCCTTTCCCTGGACGATGCCCAAGGGATCTTCTAAGTACAAAATGCTGCAATTCCACAACTCCGAGACTCTCATCTGCATCCCAGACAGGCAGACGGATCCTGCTGCTTCTAGAATTCCAACTGCAGATTCATATAGAGGGAATACCCCTTCCCAGCAGCCTTATCACCCACAGACTCCACTCCCCTCTGAGGACAGTCAAGTAGAAGGGAGGCACCTGGCAGGCAGGTAATTTGTCCAGCCTGTCCAGGGTGGGAGGGAGGAATAGCAGGGACTGCCAACCACTGGATGCGCTGCACAAGAACCACTCCCACCCCATCCACACAGGAAAGGAGGCAGTACCTTCTACTGCGGAAAGATGGAGGCTTGTGGGAGGTCCTTGGTCCTGGGGGAGGCCACCTGGAGACTAGGTGACTTGCCACCCTCGTCTGGTCCCTTCCTGAACCATCTGATTCTTTAGCTTCTCCATGTCCCTGCTTTTCTCAACTTATACTTCATTCACTCATTCGAGCAATAGTTCTCGAGCTTCCATTAGGAAAATACACAAACCCTAAAGGTTTATGATTGCTTCCTAGAGGTGGGAGGGGAAGGCAGAGCCCTCGTTCAGGAAGCAGAATTTCTGTTTACGGGGATGGGAAATCTGACGGTGATTATTTGCGATGGTTGCACAACATGATTCATTGATTTCATTGAACTGTACACAGTGAAAGCGGAGGGAAATCCCTGCTCTGAAGGAGCTCACATTTAGTGGGAGGAGGTCCCTAATACACAATTCATTCTCATGTTTATTATGCGAATCGTGAGGCATGCTGTGTAGCACCAGCAAGCAAAGGGAGGAAGGAGGAGCTGAGGGACTCTGAGAGATGTGGTTAGCTCGTTCCGGAACCTGATGAGGGAGACTGGGTTATTATCAGGATCGTGGAGAGAACCACATTCCAAGCGACCTGCCATCTTTGAGCTGAACGCAGTAGTTGCTAACTCTGCCCGGAAGAGATTTGGTTGCCTGCAACACACACACTGCCCTTGTTTTCTAAGAGGAAGATTAAGTTCCTAGCAGGGCGTCGGCCTGTAAAATTTCTATTTCGGGTTATCCTTCCAGTACACCTGCATTTTACAAGTTTGGGTTTGTTCCGGTTTGGGTTTATCTGCCATGACAGAACCATGAGGATTTGGTTAAAAGGCCTGACTGTGGCCAAAAAAAAAAAGCAGCCATAGACCATCTGTCAAGGAATGGGCGTGGCTGTGTCTATAGAACATGGCACCCACTCCTCACTCATCCAAGTGCTGGGCTCCAGAGACCAGGCTGGTCAGCAAATGTGGGCATAAGGTGCCAATGGAGGATGACCACATCGTTATGTGACTGCCAAATCCTATCATTACGTAACTGCCAACTTACATCCTTATATAACTGCCAAACCACTGGGAATCACAGCCCAGTCAATTTGGCACATAACCTTAACCATCGCAGCCAACAGTACCTCTTGCCTTGAACCTCAGTGTTCTGCCAGATCTACGTGATTCCTGTGCAAAGCAGTCGGATAGTAGATTTTTTTCAGCTAATATCGTCACTGGGAAACGTGTGATAATGAGATAGTCAGTAAGCGAGGTGTGAATGTGCCCTGGTAACATCATGGATTTCGGATTGGGCTGCTAACTACAAGCTCAGCTGTTTGAACGCACCAGCCAGTTCTCAGGAGAAAGGTGCAGCGTTCTGCTCCCGTAAAGACCGACCACCCTGGACACCCACGGGAGCAGCTCCCCTCTGCCCTGTAGGGTCACTGTGAGTCAGAGGACGGTGTGTGGGGGGGTGTTGTCATGGATGTGCTAGAGGGCTGCATGTGACCTGTGGGTCACAGTGTATCCAGTCGTGTCTCAGCTGTCACTACAGTCCCCGTGTAGTGTAGCACCTGGGCACCAGGTAGGAACTCAGAACATATTTGAATGGATGAGGGATGAGTAGATGTTCTGAAATGGGGGACGCCGAGAGATGTCCTTAGCCCTTTCCGGAACCTGATGAGGGAGACTGGATTACTGTCAGGATCGTGGAGAGAGCCACATTCCAAGCGACCTGCTATCTTTGAGCTGAACGCGATAGTAGCGGACCCTGCCCGGAAGAGATACGGTTGTGTGCAACGCGCACACTGCCCTTCTTTTCTAAGAGGAAGATTACGTTTCTATCGTGTTTGACTTAAAGATGATATCCCTCTCTACCTTTAAGTAATTCGTTTTATTTATTTTTTCGTCGTAGTTTATCAGATGTCGTGGAGACATCTGAGAACATTCCTTCATCCACAAACAGTCTTCAGGATCTGTGTGCTTCATACGTGTACGTGCAAGCCCATCTCTGGGGCCCAAACGTCTCAGTTTGGGCTCGTGGCATTTCGCACGCTCAGAGCCACACACAGCTGCTGTCAGGTGCTGTCCAGGTGGTTCCGACTCAGAGCCACCCCTTGTGACAGAGCAGAATGCCCCATGGGGTGGTCTCAGCTGCACTCTTCCATGGGAGCAGATTGCCTGCTCTTTGCTCCTGTGGGGCCGCTGGGTGGGTCCGAACCACCGACCTTTGGGTTAGCAGCCACGCGCTTAGCAGTTATTCCCCTAGCGCTCCTTCGCATGTGGCTAACGGTGCCCCCACTGGCGCCCCCCACTGGCGTGTGTAGCTCAGGCTGGAACACGGGGAAAGTCTAATAAGCAACTGCATGGAGGGCGTTTACCTGCTGCCAGAGCCTCACAATGACTGTGGGAGGAGGAGCCGCTAGCCCATATTCTAGATGAGTTGTTTCCACTCACCTGGTCAGTAGCAAAGCTCAGGTTTGAGTCCAGCACCTGCGTTGAACTGACCATAAAATATTTGAGCTGGAAGGGTCTTTAGAAGAATTATCCTAATTCTGAGCACCATGACTACTGCTTGTTTCTGCAGAGCTTAGTCTGGTGTCCAGCATGCCTTTAGAGCCCAGCTGTCAGAATGAATGGATCAGGTCTGATTTCACTCGGGTGGAAATTAAGGGCTAGAAAGCAAAGGGGCGGCAGCAGAGAAGGGCTGGTCCAGATCACAGGACTCCAAAAAAGGAACGATGCTCGAGAGCAGTGGTTCTCAGCCTTCCTAATGCTGAGCCCTTTTCGTACAGTTCCTCCTGCTGTGGTGACCACCCCCTCACCTTAAAATTACTTCTGTTGCTATTTCATAACTGTCATTTTGCTACTGTTATGAATCGTAATGTAAATATGTGATATGCAGGATGTATTAGGCGACCCCTGTGAAAGGGTCATTTGACCCCAAAGGGGTTGCGACCCACAGGTTGAGAACCGCCGCTCTAGAAGCTTCATTGCTGATGGACTCTCCCCACACTGCTCCTATGTCAGGTCCATGGGCCTCACAATTGGTCAGCCCCAAGACACCACACAATTTAACCTCTGAAGTTTTCCTCATATTGGGGGCCATCAGCTCCCCTGTGCCCATAAGCTCACCTCCCTGCCTTTCCCCATCACGCTGGCTGCCCGTCAGCCTCAAGGATGGCTGAGCAGCTGGTCCTGGCTGGATGGCAGGGAGCCCAGGACCCCAAGTGAAACTCCCATGACCAGGGAGAGCTCGCTGCGTGAGGCGCTACCTGCCTCCAGTCTCCGCCTCAGGGTCACGCTCTGTCGTGACAGCTTGAGCGGTTTTCCTGGCAGGTGGGCAGCATGCATCTCAGGGAGGGTCATGCTGACCGGTAGCCAGTGGCCGCCTGCCATGCTGCCTGCCTGGCCCTGAAGCTGGTTGCTGCGGTGCCGTCCAGCCAGCTCAGGTCCCAGCCAGCAGCCTCCCGGGGAACCCCTAGCAGCCTCCTTCCTCACAGGGTGGTAGGAACTGGCCTAGATTGTAGATGCACAGAATTGAAAGGAACTTACAGACCACCAGCCCAGAGCATCTCCAGCTGGGATGCCCTGACGGCCCGGGGAATCTTTTTTTTTTTTTTTTGATACACATTGCTGACACACTGGGTCCGGGATGGCCTTGCCAGCCAGCTCCCAGGCAATGCCAGTGCAACTCCTGGTCCAAAGAGCACTCGTTGCAAAGCAAGGATCTGGCACAGTTAAACACTTGACTACAAACGGAAAGGTTCATGGTTCGGATATTGGTGGCACTATCGGGTAAGGGTTGGACTGCCCACCCGCAAGGTCAGCAGTTCAAATCCATCCGCTACCCCTCGGGAAGAAGGTGACGCTATCTGCTCCCATAAAGATGGATAGCCTCAGAAAGTCTATATAGAGTTAGCGTGAGTTGGAATCAATTCCGTCGCAATGGATTCCGGTGGGTGTGTGTTGGGCTGCTTACTGAAAGGTCATCAGTTTGAAACCACCAGCTGCTCTGAGGGAGACAGATGGGGCTTTCCACTCCCGTCACGAGTCACAGTCTCGGATAACTCACTGGAGCATCCCTGTCTTAGAGGGTTGAGATGAGTCGGCATTGACTCAATGACAGTGAGTGAGTGGTGCTGGGGGTTAGGCCTTGGGTTGCCAACTTCAAGGTCGGTGGTTCAAACTCCTCGGGAGAGAAACCAGACTCTCTGCTTCTGTAGAGTTATAGTCTCAGAAACTTGCTATGAGTTGGGAGCGATGTGATGGCAGCGGATTTAGTGTGGTTTATATTTACTACCTACAAAACTCTTTGGCTCTTGTCACAAGCTGGCATATTGTGAATATCTTCTTCTCCAGAGGATTGGAAGCCTGGGCTTCTCTTGTTCTCCTTGTGTCTCCTCTGGGTGGCCACCTGAGAGGCCAAGTGAGGTGAAGCTGGTTCTGCCAGGAGGGTCTTCTCCCAGGGGCCCTTGAGGTAAGAGTCACCGGGTGCACCCTATGTTGGCACCAGAAAGACTTCCGCATCTCCCAGACCTGAAGGGCAAGGTGAGGATGGGCACGGGAAGTGTGCTGTGTGGGCGTCAGCAAGGGGTCTTTCTGAACTCAGTGCTCGGCTGAGAGACAAGCTGTGGCCCAGGGGCACGTGGGGAACAGCGTGACTGTTTGTGGAGTAAACACCCAAATGAAAGTCAAAAAAGAGCCGGTGGTGTTAGGTAAACATGCTAAAAGACAGCAGTGACTACCCGCTTCCAGCACACTTCCAAAGTGACAGTGGCGGGTTTTTGCATTTGACTTAGAATCACTTCTCCTGATGCCAGCTGACTTGGGTTCTATTTCGGGCACAAACACAAACCCGTAGTCATGAGCTGAACTGCCTCACAGAACTGCCGAGATGTGGGGGTCAGTGATGATCCAAGTCTGCCTGTCTGCTGGTGCTTTCTTTCCATTGCTAAAACATATATGTTCAGGAATTATGCTGGACAGTCAGCTGCTGGGTATTTGTTCAATAGAGTGCTGGGGTTGAGTTCCCCACATTAGAAGGCCGGACATGGTCATGAAGCCTTTTCGGATGTTAGACTTGGGTCTCCATGAGCTGAGATCAGCTAAGTGGTGATTAGCGTGACACATCATCCCTTAGGGAAGAGCCCCCGAGGCTTAATGGGGTTCTAACCTCAGGGTCAGCCTTTGGAAACCACCAGCCGTTCCTCAGGAGAAAGGTGGGGCTTTCTACTCCCTTAAAGAGTTACAGTCGCAGAAACCCATAGGGGGCGGGTCTACTCTGACCTGTAGGGTCTTGGTGAGTTTGCGGGTTTGGTTGCTCCTTATGCACCAAGATGGTAGGTCATGTTCACTGCTGACACCCCCCCCCCTCCAGCATTGGCTTATTGAGAACTATGTGTCGAGCGGATGACTGGGGAGTGAGTACTCTTCCCTCAAGTAGGAAACAGCCATGGAGCCGTCCACGGGTTTTGCACTATTGTTTTCCCTTCAGAAAAGCAGTTGAATTCAACCTTGACAGATAGAAAGGTGCCTGAGCCCACCCTACCCACCCACCCATGTTTAATGTGCCAGCTAGGAACCCTAGTTGTAAAGAGTTTGCAGTCTAGAGATGGTACGTGAGCATAAGCCACCAGATTGATCCATGGCTGGGGAGTAGGACCATTGAAGTGGGTGGGAGAGAGGAGTGAGATGGCCCCACCCACTGTCCTTAAGTAGAAGTGCGTTCTCAAGTAGGGCTCCATGCAGAGAATTCTATAACCTGAACAATTGTGTGTGTGTGTGTGTGTGTGAATATCTCTCAATGACTCCGGCGGGAAGGACAGGGAATATCTACAGGGTTGAAGCCAGATGGCGGAAGGCTCTGGATTCCTACCAAGGGAGCGAACTGGTGTTCACGAGACAATGGGAGCCACTGACGGTGTTGGAGTCAGGGAACTTGAAGAGGAGAGCTGTGCTTCTGAAGAGTCAGGATGTGCCTGAGGCACCGAGCCTGGAGGCGAGAACCACCCCGGGGACCGCTTTAGGGAAAGTCGTGGGGAACCCAGGATGTTAGAAGCTGGCTCTTCTGCCTCTGAATTCCCTCAGCTCTTTCTCAGCACCTCCCCTGTGGCACTTGGCGGATGGACATTTTAGGGAGATTTAGCTAGCGGTCAAAGAAACTGAGACGGTACAGGAAAGCACGAGGAAGAAAGGAAGTATGTGTTTGTAATCTCACCACCTGGAAATTATTATCGTTAACATTTGGGATCTGTCTGCTGGTCCTTCCAGATTACTTTATCACACATGTGCGCACACACACACAAACACCACCACCACCGTGTGTGTGTGTGTGTGTGTGTGTGTGTGTGTGTGTGTGTGTG